ATTTATCTATTAGACGATCTGACCCTGTTGTCTCATTAAAAGTTTTGAATAGGTAATAAATACATTTTCAAAATTAAAAGTCTTGTAGTTTCCGAACACATGAAATTATAGTAGTTTGTGCAATTACATAATGAAGCTTATCTAATCATTTAAATCATCGAATATACTAACTTTTAAAATGGAATACAATTTACAATGATAAAGTAGCTGCTGCACCATAGGGTACAATTCAATGCTATATAGACATAAAATGATTACAAAACAATAAAATGCAATGTACTATAATGCAAACCAATACAATTAAAATATTATTTACAATATACCATACAATAAAAAACAATATACGAAATCATACATATGATCATAGCAATTTTATCTATAAAAATTCTCTAGCTTTTGAAACGTAAGTTAACGTTACACCATCTATTGAACCACTGTTGAACTAGAATTTTAGTAATCTATTTCGTCTATTAGTTCATTACGTACAGTGGAAACGTTTTATGAGGAGCATCAATAGTACAGTTTATAGTGCATATATATATAAAAACAATCAATCAATATAATTCATATGTCATATATTTACACTTCAAAGACATATACCGGTTTCCAATTAGCAACGTTTTAAGCAAATTCATAGGTGCAAGTGCCCGCATTTTGAAATGATCAAATAAAACCTTTTTACTGAATTCATATATATTGCTAAGAGTTTGTTTTAAGAAACGCAGCCAAATGTTGTGAAAACTGATCTGAGCCATTGTCAATGAAAAACGGGTGGATAAAAGAACAAAAAGTCTGTAAAGAAACGAAGTACATTGAACTCAAATTAATTGATTTATCTAAATGTATCAATAATTTGAAACATATTGAAGTCATTGATGGAAGCTGCATGAACTATTTGACACATTGTTAGTCAACCGTGTTTCAAGAATTAAACATATTTGTCGAGTTTTTTGAGAATGCACATGTTTCTCCTTGAGGTTCAGTGTCATCAGTTGACCACGCTATTGATAACAATAGAACAACTTCAATTAAGAAATAATCAAGAATTTGTAAAACTCTTGACAAAAGACGCTAATCCCCTGTTGAAACTTCATATTTCAAGTATTTGCACTACAGATTAAGACAAGGGTCAAATAAAACAAGGGTCAAGCAGTTAATGATTCCGGACTTACATGCATCTACACCATTTCTTGGAAGAATGGCATTAAATTGCTAATTGAAGAGTAGAAATTAAGTACGATGATTCAAATACTAATCTAGTCGATTAATCCTCGCAAGAATTACTGTAAATATATGCGTAATCAAGAAACAGAAGAATCCTTTTAGGATGGATTTATATCGTGGTTTGTTTCTGCTTTTGGTGTTGTTAGTATGTTAGTCCTTGCCTATAGTGTTATACTGTGGGATTGCATCACATGGTACACGTAGACCTTGTTTGAAGTGTGAGCTAACGCTCTATCGACTCGCACAACAACTGTGTCCGAGCCAAAAGTTCTCAGGCTTCGATCGATTGCAGTATCAACCATATCTTTCTTACAATATAATATCCCCTTCATTGGCTAGAATTAATTATAATGTATTACAAGATCTGTTGATTCTTTATTTTTGTTTTTAATGCAGCCCCTTTATAATCTTATTTTGGCGACATCTAAAGGTGAAACGCCTTGATGTTTAAAAATAAAATAGAACCACGGACTTTCTAAAGAAACAAATTGATGAAGTGAGTTATCGCTTTTGATCTGAATGGCATATATTGAGTCCTCATTACAGTTTTCTTAAAATATCCTGGATGAACTTTTCATTTTATTTGTTAATCCTAAGTTTAGTATAATCTGAAATAAATAATTGAGATATTAAATATCGTTTACAGGCGTGATTAAAGATTTAAGATGCAGAAATGTCCAAAATCATTAGAATTAGAAAAACGCACCATTTTAAATTTGTATTGCCAAATAACCTTCAGAATAAAGGACAATCATGAAATAAAGTCAGAATTGTTTTAGACTATATTATGGCAACATTGTACTGAATTTAGAAAGTTACTGTTAACTCCTTTTCTAGATTAGTATTTGTTTTAGTTGGATTTGCTCTCTGAAAATGAAAAGCTATGGTTTAATAGGTGTAGGCGTCACTATGGTCATCATGATTGTGTCTGATATGGGGTGGGGGTTGAGCGTGTTGAGACCAGCAGTGATTCTCCAGTAACATCCATGTCGTTTCTGTTAACCATTATCAACTAAATGCCATACTTTTGCAAAGTATGACGATGGATGCTCCATAAGACCACGCCCGATCCGTTGGAGTAGTTCTCCATACATATCTTTTAATTTGTGATTTTGGCTTCGTAAGGTTTTTCTGGATTCTGGAGTCATCAGTCATATGAAAGCTGGCTATGTCTTCTTCTACAGTATCCTACATTGATTTAAGCCCATGGCTCACTTAATAACACAGATGCGAGTACGTAGTTATCGGATTCACCACCAGGTGGCTGCAGATAACATGGTAGGGTATTTGAAATTAAAGTTCCCCTAAACTTGAATATTCATCAGTTTAAGTGGTTCAATTTTCATATTACCCTTATGTGTCATAGTTATACAAATTAGAATATGTCCAGCAAAACGAAATATCATATGTCCAATATAAAAAAAGATATTTCAGTTTTTTGATTTTACAACATGGGCTTTATGGGGAACCTCCTGGATCTAGAAGTAACATTATCAAAGAAAAACACTTTTTAAAACTACATTTCCAGATGTAATCTTACATAAATATTACTTTGACTGAATTTTTAATTTTTAATGACGTAAATCAAGATTATTTCTACTCGCATCTTGTCTATTGTCGATGGAGAACATTTTTTTGAATACTGTGACCACCAGGTCAAAGTATAAGACTTGCATAAAATTAAACGTGTGCATTAGACCACCGGGAATTCATTGAATCGTGTGCTTGAATTCTTTTCATGTTGTTGGGATAGGAGCCCTACAAAAACGCAATTCTCACCTTTAATCACCTTGACAATACATCTTCGGGGCATGCGTTCATTTGCCTATTTCTGATTCTAATAATATTATTGAGAGCTTTATAGAAAGTTTATGGATTTTGCAACTCACTTATAGCACGTTTATGACGTATAACTTATGAAGCGTTTGATTAAGTCAACATTTATCGCGCAGCTCTGTACGTCCATATTAAGTGTGATATTCTTATAAATCGTCGTCTATAACGCAAGCGCAATAAATGATGACGTTATCAAACGCCTCATAAGTTATACGTTATATGGGACTAATAAACATGCTATTAGTGAGATGCGAAAACTTTCTATATAAATCATATTTTCTGGTCTATGTTATATTACTAATTGTATATATATTGGGACGTCAGTATAACGGTTAGTGTACACATGTGCGCAAACAATTTTTTTGTTAATTACAATACTGTATTTTTAACAGACACACATCATAACATATTAATATTTGTGTTTTCTTGAACTATCATGATTGGCTCTGATGACCTTAATTGATTTATTACAGAATGGCTCAGATTTTGAGTCCGCCATTCGCGTCCAATTTGAAAATAAAATGATCATGCAAAAATCATGCAGATGCAAGGGTAAGGAAGAATCACTAACAATGTCCTCAATTCCTTCAATATATTGATTTCTGTATTCAATTCCCAAATATTTGGAGAGGCTATAGCAAAAACTGATAGTCCTTACAATGTATACATATTATCTGCACAATAACTAATCATATATCGGGATACAATATCAATAACATTGTTTAAAATTCGTGATAAACAGAAAAGATAACAACAATTCCTTATTCAGGCCGTTTACATTAAAACCATATTTACTCATTAAATTCTTAATCATTTGATAATCAAAGAATAACAACTGTCAAAGTGTCAATACTAAATTTTCAAAAAAATCTACATTAAATTTTATTTCATTGGTGAAAGTAAAAAGAGCAATTTGAGGTATATTTATCAAGAAATAACAAGCGATAAATGTCGCAATGGCGGTAAATCGTCAATGACAATGATAAGAGCAACGCGCCACGTAGTCTTCTTTCGAAAACCATATTGTAATATAATCTGCGTCATCACAGCTAAAGTACAACATGTAAATACACTTATATAAATAATTTATATATATTACAATGTTTGTTAAGTTTTGGTGGTGCTTTCATGACGGTGTTTAAGTCGCGTGTCAACGTTTGACTGCAACGGTTTGGAGTGTGCCTTCGTTCGATACCAGAATCCTATTGGCTACTTGCACAATTCCTACGCGTGCTCCTGTTTGCGCACTTCGGTCATATAACCCTACTCGATTGTTCTAAGCACTTTCAAACAAGTTCAATACTTCCGTAGTTAAACAACTATTTAGATCTTTGATTAAAGGAATAAAAATAACTTAATAAGATTAATTAATAGAAAAAATGATGGAAAATTTGGATTTCGACAATGTTGGCAATGACTTTTTACCAGATTATGGCCAGGATGCCTTTAATGAATCATTTTCGGACAATATGAGTGAAAATATGTACGGAAGCCCGGGGGAAATGTCAGACCAGGAAAACATCGGGAAAAGTGGCAAGCGACGACGGAAACGATGTCCCCAACAACAAGTTCACCAGCGCCATGCAGCTAACATGCGTGAGCGCAAACGTATGCAATCCATCAACGAGGCATTCGAGGGACTTCGTACACACATTCCGACTCTTCCGTACGAAAAAAGACTATCAAAAGTTGATACACTTAGACTTGCTATAGGTTACATAAGTTTTCTTGGAGAACTTGTACAAACTGATATTAACTCCAAAGAAAACATGAACAGTCAGTGCTCCGAAACTCCAAGGAAAGTCATCATTCACTGTCACAATGGTACGTATCTAACACCTCTGCATGTTTTCTATGGTGTCACATTTAACATGCAGTGGAACGGTCGATAACCAGTCTCCGGACCGGGGACTAACAGTTGGTTTGATGCCCCGGATGCCAGGGGGTGCTCACTGTGATCAAGACAAGCTTATTTTGTTTTAACAAGGTTGGATAACTTTTAAAACTTCCCCCAAGGCACGTGCGACGTATCGATACAATTATATATAAAACGAGAACTATACATAATTAATCAGTCTAGCTAATCATGCACGTGTGGATGAGAAAATATCCAAATACTATCCTAAATACCCGCTTTAATCCAGTTAAATCGTTGATCCACAGAACACTGGGAGATCTCGTTACCATTGCATTATCTGACAGGTTAAACGGATAATTTTTCAAATCGAACTTTCAATATGTAATTATAAAACATAAATGCAAATTGGACGTTTAATAACATGACATTTGACATTAATTACAGACTTTATATTTTGGCTTATTTTAACGCTATCTAAAAATCAAACTTGAACGATGAAAATGGATTTGTTTTCATTATTAGTAATTATTCAAAGAGAATTTCAAATATTTTATTGAACAAATATGAAATTTAAGATGCGTTTTATGAAACACAATCTGTATATATAAAGTTTGTCTGTATTTGTTTAATCTTCAAATGTAATTCAGCATATCTAATTGGGACACCTAATACTTTTCTTGACATGATCCGGGATTGCTTTGAGAGAAGTCAATTTTGAATCGAAATCAAAACACGAAGAACATACAGAAATAATTTAAGTCACACCTTGAAGCAGGAAAGCGTGTGCGGAGTTTAAAAAATCCAATTATTTAAGCGGATATCTAATTCAAACCAAAGAATATAATATAGTGTGGTCCAAAAATGATTTGTCTTCTGAACGATTTTTACCATGAGCAAAATAAACAAAAATCGTAAAAAATGAAATTCACATGTTAGCTCGATTAAACGTTTTTTGTGAGACTTCTAATAAATCAAAATTATATGTCACAAATAAAACGCTTCAACAAGTAACATTTTTGTTGTTAATTTATGAAATTATTCAGTATTTTTGGCTGATTGGATTTTATGTTTCACGGGTCACGGCTAGGAAGACCCCATTTGTATGACTCTCCATGAGACTGGTTTTCATGAACCAAATCAATTTAACCTTTTTTAATTGACAAAATTATTAAGTTTCAGGATTAATTGAAGCGTATGCGCTATCTTCATGAAAATGAAAAACATCATCGGCGTGTCGACAAAGCACAGGAAAGAAAGGCTATCATAACGGGTATCAACTACATCATAAAAACATTAAGTGAAACAAAATAAATATAATGCTAGACCCAATGTATATCTGACACTAATCTCCCAGATGAAATGAAATTAGAAAAAGGTTTCTAACAAACATAGATTTCACTTTAGATAAGCTATAGCCATTGTTTTACTAATGTACAACTTGTTCCAAACGTGGAGAACAAAATTATGGTCATTCATTAACCTCATTAGCGATTCAAGACACTTCTACTTATTACCACTGACTTCTTACAACAATATGAAAAACTCTCAAAAACAGAAATATAGCACCTCGAGTATCCCTTAACAGCGTATATTGCTTGTCCGAACGACGCTCGCCAAGGCTGCTTTATTGCAGTTTCTTGTTTAAACTACCAATACAATCATACTTAATTTTTTATAATTGTTCATTGTTTTACATTTACTACAGACGCTCGTGTGTTTGCATATCTTAATATGTGACTTGTATGGAGTTAAACAATGCTCACTTTTACTGTCAATGTCATAATTAAAAAAAGCTAGTATGTAATCATACACATGTAAATTTAATTTGAAAACCCAAGTCTGGACATCGTTTGACTAATTTATTTTTGAACGCACTTCAGCATTACAACGATAATCAATCACACCACGGTGGACACATTTAGCATCATGTCCTCATGTTTTATACCTCACACGAAACATCTAAAACATATCTTTTATTATCATTCTTCAAGAAGCAGACAATCCAATTAAATAAAACTATAATTAAATTATTAACACTCGTCATAAAGAGAGGATTGGCCACGAGTCTAGCCTTACACGATTGAAATGGAGTGGAAGATGATTTAAAGTGCCACTTCACCTATGAAAACAAAGATTCTCATTAATTCATTTCTCCAGATATTTTCCTATTTTTATGAAGTTTTGCTCTATATTTACACATACTCTACTTACACATCCCCTAGAGATGGTGTTTGCTTATTGTGGATTGATATTCTACTATAGAAATAATCTTAGGAAACCGAAGTCGGTGATAAAAAATGCAATGGAAAGCATTTGGAAAAATACAATACCCCAAATAAACCCGAGATTGAGTTATTAATTACTCAAGGATGTAATATCAATATCATATCAAATAAGTTACTTACATTTTTATTGTAATTAAATACGCTCTCTATTATTTTATAATATTACATAATGTTGATTTGTATTTGACTTAATGTATTTTGTAATTCATACATGTAAATTCATTTTTATGATTTATGAACAATACAAACAGGTTGAGCCACCATCACAGTGCTTTTTGTTCTTCTTTCTATCATAGGACGACTGTTAAAAGATTCTCATCATTCAGTAACGAGAACAAAAGCATTATTCTTCTAAAATACAATTCTTAATCTTAAAGATTTAACAAATATTCTTTACTTTCAGGCATCTCTGATGATGGCGAACAATATGGGCTTCCTCCATTAGCAGGACATTCACTCTCTTGGAATGACGAGAAAAAACTAAATATGGGGCCAAATGGCAATACCATGACTGCCAAAATATGGACACCAGAAGACCCAAGAAAAAAGAAAGGATATCTTAACAACAATACGGATTGTACTACACTATTAGATTCTCCATTAGATTTATAGGATTATGACGTGACCAAATCATAACAATCTCAACCGGAACCGGAAATAGCGCAACGCCAATCATCAGAAAAATGCTACAAGGTGCCATCTATGTTTCACGTCTGTTCATTTTTTCTGTTTTTTAAATGAGCAATTATACGTTAGAATATTTCATTTTATTGAAGGTTATAATTTTTAACACCAACACAATATTTATTCTGAAATGATTTGCGTTACCGCAAGGCAGTTGCCCTTTAAATAAGACGTACGTGTTGCTGATTTCCATAAAACAAATGCTTTAGTTATTTATTTAAAAGTGTGCAATACATATAAGACTTGGGATCGTTCACTAATTTATTTTCCAATAACTGAATAGATTAAGGATGCTCTCAAACAATTTAACTGTAATATAAATGACATAGTATACTAGAATTAGGGATTGGTGCAATAGTAATACGGCTATGGAATATAATAATAAAGATGCATCCACAATTGACAAAGTGCAAATAAGCATTTTTCAAAAATGCTAAGTAAGGACTCGCATCTAATGTATGCTTCCTTTTTACATTGCCAAATACTGATGCTAAGAAAAAGTGTCCTATTATAGCTTAGTTGCCCAGGTGGAGTTGCTTTTTAACAAGTAAATACATGTTATACATATCTAATTTATTAGCATTCTAAAATGCAACCGTATGTAACCAAAAAAGGTATTATTCTATGAGGTATATTGGTATTGGTTATACTGTAGATGTTAACGCTATTTTTATATTTATTTACAAAACTAATCAATTGAGTTAATACATACGTTGTGGTTAGTGATAATAAATTATTAACGATGGCGTGTGCCGCTGTTGACTCGAGCAGTTGGATGGAGAGGGGAACAGTCTTGAAGTCTCAAAACATAATTTTATTATATGTTCATTGTCGTATTATTTTATAGATATGAACGCACCATGGGGTGTGATATTTATAGCATTAAACACAGATCTAAGGGTCATTTATTAAGTATGTCTCGATTAAATGTTGACACAATGATATGTATATACGATCTATATAGAGATATTATTTTATAAAAGAATTTAACATTAAAAATATATTGAACAGAAACCAGGTGTTTTCTTCTTATATTTTTCCCAGTAGAATTTATTGCAACTATATATCATTGCGGCTAGGGTTGAGCGCATAATTGGTTTTAAATCCTCCTACTAAGTCCTTAAACCCAACCTTTTTATGCCTCTCCCTAACAACTGAATATTAATATCGGTGATCAGTAATGAGTAAAACAGAGAAACGCTCCTGAAACACAATTAAGCATTTTATAAATAGAAATTAACAACAAAAACACATCTTTTGTTTTTCTTCAAAGTAAACATTCATAATCGTGTTTAGTGATAGCAAATTTGCATATAGTAATATCATATACTTGAAAAGCATGATTCCCTTGTTGAATGTAATTATATTGTATTGTCCATATTCAATGACAATTAAATAATACAGCCCCGCCATCCAGTTTACATATTGCACTGGGTAAGATGGCGTATAATTTGATTAAAATAGAGCAATGTCTTGGATTATTTTATATGCAAAATTGATGGCGATTTGTAGATGGATTTCTCGCTTAAGTGGTTTCGTAAGACTTGGATCGATCATTCAACGGGGTAGCCACATAGACAGCTGGATACGAGCTCCAACTTTCCCTTCATATATTACACCGGAGCGACATTAAGAGTGAGCTAACTAGATTCAATTAGGGTTACACCTTAAACGAAGATAACGTACCTCTGCCAAACGTTTTGACAATTAATAACCTGACTTGACACGACACTGTTATGGCTGTTGTAATTATATCATAAAAAGAGAAAATAATTAAGTACTTATGATAAGGTTGAAATTACAGTTAAGAAAAAGATACTGTTACTGTGTGGTTAGACCTTGACAAAAGTTTATTTTATTTCAAAAAATGATTAATTGCCAATTCACTCCTTAAAACTACAAATTGATAAAAATGAAAATACAACTCAAGTTTTAGTAAGTTTAATAATAGAGATAGTTTCTTTGTTCAACTTAACATAAATTGTGTACAAGATTCAATTCACGTGAACTATATAGAGCATCATCAGAAAAACTTATATTCATTTTACCAGAGCCCATGATTTTACGTAGCATTAATACGATATCGATCTGAATTTTAAAAAAGATTATAATATTCCAACAGTCACTTTGACAGATAGGTTGATCACACTTTAAGCATAGACAGTTTATCAAAGATATATCTTAATACCAGATAAGCATATCGGTATATTATACCACTTGAATATACGAGGACTCGTCGTACGTATTGTTCCAATTCGCCTTGTTTTACGTACAATATAGATTTGCCCAACTCATTATAACCTTGTTCAATACCGCATTGTCGTCCAATATTTTCTAATTGATTGATCCAGCATGATTCTTTGGACAAGAAGTACAAACTGAGTAAGATATTGACTTGCACATAAGGAATTCACCTTCATTTTACCGTCTAAAGTCCCCTTCCATATAATTATCAATAAATTGTCCATGTACTCATTACCATACATGTAAAATTGAATGACTTAATGAATATATTGTCCGGTGATACTAAGAGCAATTTTGGTCATAACATTTTCATTCTTTCATACTTTTTCATGCTTTTTGTTCAAGGAAGGGGTTTATAGTTTGAATTCATGTAGGGAAACTCTTGTGTTACCGTGACAATAGAAACGGATCTAATATCTGAATAAGCTGTTGTTTTAGGGAAAAAGATCGATGTCGATTGTTTGATTCATGTCTTTGGATATCTCAATCAATCGACGAATATATTTTACAATATTCCTCATATATGGGTCAGAAATACTTTCGTAGTTAAAATTATAGAAAATATAGATATTTCTTAACCTCGAAAATGAACCATTTGACCTATTTCAAAATGAAGAGATGTTGAATCCAATATGTAAACATACATTGTGCCATTCATTGTCTTTAAGGGACGATATCACCCACACTGACACTTGACAAGTTCCGGCAAAGGAAATCATTTCAAGTGAAGCTTTCCTTGGTGCAAATTGATCTTTCCGCGCATTATTTCTATTGCTAATTCGAGGTTAATCTCCTATATATTGACAAATGGATCCTGGCATAGCACACATCCAATATGATTAAATAAAATTAATATTTACTTTTGTATTATTAGTGAGATCGACATTAACATCATTATATCACAATGACAATAGTCTATCAACTTTCAATTAATGCCTGGAGAGCTGGGCCGGATAACATCCCGGTTGCAGTGCCCGGTTGGCATTCCTGGCTGAGTTTTTAATACATTTACGATTTAAAATACTTATTGTATGTTGCATCTCTAATTTTGTATATGGGAATAGTTCGAACTATTTCATATTGTGCATAAAGGTATTGTTGCATAACTGTGAGTATCTCTGTTATGGTGAGTATCTCTGTTATGGCTATGAAGAAATGACAGGGTATGCTTTAATAAACTACATGTAATTTTTATTTCAAATGTTTCTCCACACCAGTGTAATTTATTCGCTATTACGCTGTACCGGTCTCTTACGGAAGTTACAGCTAAATGTTTGTTATGGCATTATATAAATAAACTTTCATCGTCAACTGAATTAAAAATCTTTTCACTGAATAATGCTGTTGATGTTAAAATACTTTCTTACAAAACGCAAATCTTAAAATAGAGTAACACTACGTATTGACAAAAGCATTTTTTTTTATTATATTCTTTCCGTGACTCGCCACACAAGGTGGAAATGTTTGACCAACGTTCACCATGGCACATTTTGCGTGATGAATCCTGTACTTGTAATATCTGTTTAAACGAATCAAATGTCAGAACTGCAATTTATACATCTTTATTAGTCTTGGAGTTTGTGGAGAACAAACAGAGGAGTGATGTATCTGCGTTGATATTTGGTTAGGTGGTCTGGTCTGCATCAGGTACTTTCACGAATCAAATGAACATAACTAGAAAATCGATTCATGTAGTGACAAGACATGCTTTCACTCTTCAAATACCTCATTCAGTCTCAAGTTGCCATGGATAACATCGCGTTTGAAGTTGAAATCATGTCAAAATCTTCCTGATAATTTATGATAATTCTAAGTTCATATTTACTCGATCAGTGAGATGTATTTGCGCACATGTATGTCGCGTTTGGAGTTGGTTCTTGTCCACGTTTGATGACTGTGGTGTAAGTGATTTCTAATATACCTGTACTGAAAGCAAAGATGCTGAGTTTGATTCCCCAGAAAATAAATGCAATGGTAGTAATCAAGTCAGCAATATTCACAAACTCCAAAAGCGCTTGTATCTAAAGTATGTTGTCAGAATTCATAATAGTTTATCCAACAACTTTTTACTTTCATATTACAAAAGAAATGCAAGACGTATTACTTAGGACAAAGTATACATTTAAAGAGGGTAGCTTGTTGAATTTCAAAACATCTGAAGCATCAAGAGGAAATTAAATTGACTGGACGCATTTTCTTTTTACTGGCAATGCTAGATTTGGCTTTTTTGGCGGCTCAGAAAAAATGGCCTTTGAAAATAAGTTGTTGATCTTTATTCTTAAAATATTCGAATTTACCACCACAAAACTTAAAATATCCTTTCAGATCATACTGACTTATATACTCTACTTTATTTGTACAACACATTTGGTCATCACCATTGGAAAAATGAGCGAAAGTCACATGCATTCACCAACCTAATTTTAGCGTATAATAATGTTAAATAATTTATGCATAGTAGGGTTCAATGAATTCAGGATGATTTTAAAAACACAAGGGTCTTGTATGAAATTTTGGGCTAAGATACAAGACACGGGTGCATTAAATCACCCACAATTCAATGAGTCATGTGCTTTAATTGAACCAGAAGCTTTGCAAGAGCGTTGGAAGTTTATCATTTTGACCTGTATGAGCACTTGACTTCTCATTTTGATATTATATATTTCTTTTATTGACAATTGTAT